TCTCATAAGATTTCATTTCTAAAACACACTGTAACAACCATATGAAGTAACTAAACTAAGTAATTTGTTAAAATAATTAGTGAAGAATAATGAAAAAATATTTTTCTAACAATGGAAGTAAGCACTTATGTATACTAAGTGACATATAAATCCGAACACCCAGTTTAAATGGTTTTATTTTAATAAAATTTTGTATAAGTACTTAATGAAGCATAATAAGTAAATGATAAAAATTTCAAAATGATTGCACTGCTTTAAAGCCCTTTGACCTTTAATAATGTGTGGATGCACCCTGATGTGCTACGCATTCTCCAACGCGCCTAGGCATGCTTCTGATCAGGTGGTCAATGTCCTCCTGAGGTATCTCATTCCAGGCAACCACCAACTCCTCTCGAAGTGCTCCTAGAGTCTGAGGAGGACGTTGCAAATTGAGCAATCTCCTACCCATCATATCCCACACGTGCTCAATTGGGGATAAGTCGGGAGATCTTGGTGGCCATGGTAACAATGTGACATCATTATGTTGAAAGAAGTCTATTGTGACTCTTGCAACATGTGGTCGGGCATTATCTTGTTGGAAAGTTGGATCTGCCAGGGTGTCACGGGTAAAAGATGGGGTTCTAGAACTTCGTGGATATAACGCTGCGCGTTCATGTTACCTCTGATGAAGATTAAAGGTGACCTGGAACCATAAGCTATAGCACCCCAAACCATAACTCCAACAGTGTGATGAACATGTCTTTCAACAAAAAACTGTGGATTCCTCCTTTCACCACGTCGCCTTCTAACCCTGGCACGACCATCGTGCATGCCTAAACAAAATCGAGACTCGTCACTAAAGACAATACTGTTCCATTCCTGATCCCAGAGTGACCGTTGTCGGCACCACTCAAGGCGATTACGTCGGTGTTCTCGAGTTAAAGGGAGGACCCAGTGTGGCCGGTATGAAAACAAGCCAAAACTTCTCATTCGTCGGTAAACACTTCGCATGCCAATAAGTATTCCGTGTTCTGCAAACCATTCATTTGCAGTGGACGGTCCCTTAAGGCCAAGAATCTTAGGCGGCGATCTTCACGGTCTGTTGTTCTACGGCGGCGTCCAGTGCCCCTTGCTCTTTGCGTACGGCCTTCTCGAAGCCATGCCTGACAACACCTCACCACAGTGTCTACACTTCTTTGCACTCTAACTGCAATTGCCCGAAAAGAAAGTCCAGCTTCCCGAAGTCCCACTATACGGCCCCTATCAAACTCACTAAGTTGACGAAATCGTACAGGTCTCCGTACTCTAGGCATCGTAACCGATCGCAAAGGATGTCAAGAACCAAAATCCGCCAACGTTGATTCTTTACTGCGGCTGAAATATTCATTTTTAGAGGGTTAGTGAATTAAAAAAAAGCAGTATAAAAACCGGAATGTCCAACTGATAAGGCTGAACATTTTTTCACTTGTTATTTACAGTAAGATAAATACATTCACCAACTTTTATTAAAATAAAACCATTTAAACTGGGTGTTCGGATTTATATGTCACTTAGTATATTTAGGTAGGTAACATAACTTTACTTATGAATTTCATTGAAACATTGAAGACTTATTGTCAGTTGCTCTGGACAATCTTTACAAAATGTATAGACACGCTTGGCTGTATTTCTAGCCTCTTTGACACCGCTTGTGTTCTGAAGTTTTTATTTCCCTCAGTGGCCACCTGTGGTACACTACAGCATTGAAAAAAAAGAATCATCAAAGCAGTCGTGTACCACCGATGGTACATATTGAAAATGGTATTCAAAGCTCAAAATAATACTCACACATTTTTTAGAAACTACATTACAGAGAATGTACATTTGCACTAAAAAAAAAAAACGGAAAAAAAACAATTACCGGCTACTGTCGTGTTTTACTCCATGTATTGTCGTCGTGAACGTGTTAAGAAATTTCTGTAAAAGTATACAAGTCATCTTTTTTAACAAAAAAACCTTTAAATTCATATTTTTAAAATATAAATTCATGGAAAATGTACATAGAATATAAGAAACATCATCATTGTTGGTATCAGAACTATGAATATTTTGTTTTTCTGACAAACTTCCTTATTTAAGTTGTTTACAATTTTTAATATGTGCTTGCGCATTCTAGCCACCAGCGGCACTATATCCATATTGCAGGTTAAAAATTTTGATCTTTTATCTATTTTGAGCCAGCTTTGGCATCAGTCTCCTTATAATATTTCCACACGGGATCCTTTCTCCTCTCTGTCATTGCCTTTCTTTTTTTTGCCGATCTTTAATGCACAAAAAACAAAACAGACTACCACGCTACGACTTCGCACATTTGACTGCTGGAGATCGCAACGCGAAAAATTATCCAAAGGCAAACGGTACTGCGCAGACGTCCGCAAGGTAGTTTCCCGTCGTCCGCTTTTAAATTAGAGATGTGCTCTGATAGAGCTCGATCAAAAATAGTAATAACACTTTCAAGGAACTTCATTAAGGTTGCTAGATTATATAGGCAATAGTTTTTTAATTATTTTTTACTGTTTTAAACATGTTTTTTTCAAACCTGGTAATTACACATTAAAATAATTGACAAATTTAAAATTATATAGAAAACAATATTCAAAAATATCCATTTTAATGGTATAATAAAAACATTTATCGGTTAGATAATTGAAAACCATTCTTTTAAAATTACAGTAGATATCAATATCCCGCAAATCTCTAGGTAGAGCATTCATTATACATTGCTATAGGCATAATACTGCGGTGAACTAGAGTAACTTAGAGTCCTAAAACTTTGCTTTTAACTTGGTGATTCTTGTATTATAATTATGCTATTCATTTTGCATCTCGAAGTTGTTAATGTTACATTTAACATTATTTACACATTTATATATAAAAATCCAAGGTCCAGTGAGCAGTTTTTTGTCAATTTATTGTTTGGAAAATCAATCCGGAACCATTGATTGTTCTTGGGATAGTATCCTTAAGTTTAAATAATAATTACACAAAAATAACGATATTTTTAATACAGTCTTAAAAATATATTCTACTATTGAATTAAACATTTAATAATCCACTGCCTGTCATCCATTTGGGACCTGTGAATAATAATTAATCAATAAGTTATTTTCAACACACATTATTTAGAAAGGTCGTTCTAACTTTAGATGATACCTTGTCACATCCAATCCATATTGTTTCTAAATGCCCGCTATATATCTCAAAATCACTAGATAAAATCTGAATTGTTGCAAAACAAAAATATATCACGTAAAAATAGCTGGCGTGATCCCCCAGCAGTTCAGTGATACCAAGTTGAGGCTGAAGGTCGTTTTATTGCTTGCAACATTTATTATTTTTATTATCTGGCATTATTAGCTTGTCATGGAAAATAGTTTTTTTGCATGTAGATAAGCTTGTGGAGGAATGGAATCTGAATTGCTTATCGATACACATTTGTAAAAAAAAGAACTGTTAGTGACTACATTAGAGTGTAAACGTTTAACTAATTCGATTGTAGTATTATTATAATATGTATCATAATTTCAAAGTACGTGGTTTCATATCAAACACGTGGACAAGAATTTAATGTCATTGATTATTTGATTAGGAATTGTAATAAAATTTTTCTATAATCGGGTAGAAGAGAGATATGATTTATTTGAAGATAGTGATGCCGACGTCGAACAACAGGTATAGGTCACTTGAGATAGATGCCAGTTCGCAGGGCTTTTAAAGTTTTTGCACCATTTTATAGTCCAAGGGTCATCCGTACTAAGATTGTTAGAAATGCTAAGGTCCGATATAATATATTTCAGGAACATATGCTCTAGATCAGGGTTTCCCAACCTTTTTTTTGTTGAGGTTCCCCGGAATATATATTATATTTTCATGCCTCCCCTTAACTTTTTCAATAAATACAAAAAACGCACATTATATAGGTACAAAGACTTTTATTTTAATTCTAATAAAGAAACTCTAAAATTTTAAATAAACTAATAAATGTTTTTTATCGAAAGACTTGAATAAAATAAGAGAGAAATAATGAGACACTTGAAATTGCATGTCTGTACCAGTTGGTTGATTCTAGGTTCTGTTTTTGCCAGAGGTCGCTATCGACATCAAGACGATTGCGCTGTTTAGTTTTAATTAAAACTAGAGCAGAAAAGCCTGTCTCACATAAGTAAGTTGAAGAAAAACGAACTAGTAATTGTAAAGCAAGAGAGGCAAGTGTCGAATTAACAGGCACTCTTTTGATACAAAATATCTCCAATGTTATAAGATCGAAGTCATATTTCATGGACGAATCAGCTTCATTTCTAGAAATTATTTGATATGAACCCCTGAATATAATCATAATTGCTTATTATAGTGAGTTTCTGTACTGAAGTTTCAAGTTTAGCTCATTCAAGGAGTCAAATATGTCAGTGAAATAAGCCAAGCCTCCATTGAAATGCGTCATCTTCGTACATTGTCCAAGAATCGTGTTTTTCTTTGAACTCTAGAAAAAGAATTACCTCTTCTTTTAATTCATAAAGGCGAGCCAACATGTTGCCTTTGGACAGCCAGCGTACTTCTGTATGGAGCAGAAGAACTTTTTGATCAGAATCGAGATCCTCGCAGAGTAAAGTAAATAACCGACTGTTCAAAGCGCTGCTCTTGATGAAGTTTACAATCCTTATAGCCGAGTCCAAAGTCTGACGTAATCTCTGTGGCAATGTTTTGGAAGCCAAAGCTTGCCGATGAATATCACAATGTGTACTAGCCATTGCGGGATTTTTTTCCTTGAGCTTTTTAGCTAAGCCCGATCGTACACCTATCATTGCAGGTGCGCCATCTGTGCAAAGTCCAATGAGTTTCTTCCAATCCAAATCATTTTTTTCAAAAAAATATTGAATTAAATATATTTTCAGATGTAGTACCTGCTGTCAAAGATTGGGAGTACAAAATCTCTTCCTGAATGATATATCCGCCGATGTAACGAACATAAACTATTATTAACTGTGCACAATTAACGATGTCGGTGGATTTATCGCAACTAATGGCAAATAATGGCGATAATTTTGCTTTGTTTACTGTGTTATTTGAAAGAGAAATAGACTTCATGTTTTGCTCTGTATCTTCTCCTAAAATTATCTGCGTGGCTTTTAGGACACATGGTTTTATTAATTCTTCACCGATAGTATGAGGTTTCTTTTGCTTTGCTATCATAAAAGCTATTTCAAATGAAGCTTTGAGATGCTGCGATACACCTGTGTGATAACTTCCCGAGTTATCCAGTCTCATCCGCTTGAGTGATTCTGCTTTAGAAGAAAAAACTCTTTCGTCTTCAAAACCAGAGTAAAATGTTGTTGCTTCAAATGCCTTTCAAGAAGATTGGGCCTCATGCTATCATTACTTAAAACTTTCAAACATATCACACACTGAGGCAATAATTGTAACTCGTCTTTTTCTATGAAGGTAAATCCAAACTTAACGTAATCTTCGGAAAACTTTCTTTTTTTCGCTGCCACTTGCACCTATAACAATAAAACAAATAAGTAATAAATAAATAAGCAAAATACCTACATGTAATTACCAATTATATGCCTATTATTTTATCTTAATAATGGAACAGTATATTGGCCACTGGGGGATTTATATTTTTGTATGCAGGTTGACTTTATAAAGTAATTGTAAATACATTTGGAATCAATACTATATACTTAAAGTTCGTCGTTTCAAAATTGTTTCGCCACGTTGGTTTGATTGTGATGTGGTAAAAAAGTCCCAATGGCCGATCTATGAACACGTCTCCACTCAATCAACAATTTAGTAAATTAAATAAAAATGGTAACTGAAGTTTGTAAATTATACACAAACTTACCTTTTAACAGTGAGACACAATAATTTGACACACTCAAACAGATTTCTCAGCAAAACATGTACATCGAAACGTCAATTTTTTCGCAAGTTTGTGGGAATGAATGTCACAGATGCTCATAAGCGTCTGGTAGATACACAATTATTTTCTAATTGATGAATGTTAAGCGGAGCGCGGTGGGGGTGCGCGCGGATTTCGAGTTGTGACTTATCGAAACTTGTATAAACTGCGATTGATGACGCCAGGTAATTGTGATATTTAATTTCTAATTTCATGCGTGTAAATTAAACATCACATTGTAATGTTATTTGTTAATGAGAGGCGCGCCCCCCCTGGTTGGGAACTCCTAGACAGTAAATAATAATTAGTGAAAAATGTATGCCATCGGAGACTTTGAAGGTCTCGTTAGACACAGCAGTCGCTTGACATCTGTCACAGCTAACCTCAAATATCTTGTCATAAACATGAGTGTGACGTTACTATTGCTGATTCGTGAATTAATGCACATACATCCCGATTCGAGTATCTTGCCTACCTTTTAAGAGCAAGGATCTACACTTGTGTGTTGATCACGGTGTTTTCCATTTCTGGGAGCCGTCCGGCCAAAGGCACTGCATTCTCTAGGGCTTATTGTGCCTCGCTTCTCGAGCTTCTAGACCCAATCCAGCAGTCTTGTGTTCTGAACCAGTTTACCTGCCGATACTCTTCTAAACTCCCTCGGTTCAAAATTTTTCAGAGATGTATTTTCCAAGCAGTATAATATGCCCATGATTGCACCTGTTTCCTGCTCAGTTTTTGACCCGTCTGTGTACCAGGTATTTCCCCTTGCAGGTTGTGCCTTGGTGTTTCGTTCTCGAATTTTGGTCTCGAAGAGAAATCTGGGAGCTACGGGCGTTTCCTAGCATCTAGTATGTCACTTCTCACATTGCTTATTTGGTTATGTCCAACGTCCTCATATTTTTCCTTTGGCTGTGACTGTAGTCTGGAGAAGCCCATTCTCGCCTCCCCCATTATTGCATATTGTACCGGTGGGAGCCCCAGCAAGGTTTCAGGTGCTGCAGTTGGAGCGCTCTTCATTGCACCTCTTATTGACAGGCAAGTAAGTCTTTATGCCTTGCTTAATTCTGCAATTTCAGAGCGTAGTCTCATCTTTGGCCACCATACCAGAGATGCATAAGTTATTATGTACGATCAGTGCATCATGGAAGGGCTCAATCCCCATGTTTTGAAATTAGAGCGTCATACCAACAGTACAGTCAACTCCGCTCTGCTTTTATGTGTTTGATTTGCGGGATCCAGATACTTGACTTCACCATGAAAGCAACATTTTTTTGTATACTCCAACCACCCCGAAGGCCTAAGACCTAAACCTAAACACCCATGGGGTTCCGGCGTGGAGCTATAGGGGGATACAGGGGAAAGGGGGAACGCCACACGGACTCTGGCGTGGGAACACGTGTGCAAGCAACATGCACACATTCTGTCCCCGCCTACTAGATCCGCCGGCTGGTACCTCTGCGTTCGACAGTCATAGACCGAGTACCAGCTACGGACAATCACAACAGCCATAGCAAGAGAAAAATTTCTCTTGGGACGGGATTCGAACCCGCACAGCGCTCGGCGACTGATCAGAAGACCGAAGAGTCTACTACTGCGGCCACCGCTGCTGCCTGCAGTAGAATGAATGTCTTAGAGGGACTTACGTTCAAACCCTCGTTTGACGTCCATGTTGTGACCATATTCAGAGCCCTTTGCATTTTGTCTCTGACTCCGGTGTTCTTGAGTACGATTAAATTCACACTTAATTATTTTAGCCTGGGCATGGAGCAATATAAGGGCAATTTGGACATTGAAATGGCTGCTTTTACAACCGACCGGTTCATATAATACGTAATCTGCTGTTTGCTCATAAAAGTCTGTAGCCTAAACTTTATGGCCGAGACGAATCCTAAACGGCTGCTGACGTCCTTTATACTCTAGGGAGAACTGAAATAATTGAAAAGAATTAAAATATAGTTGGACTAAAACCATTGACTATTAAAAATAGTTTTTAAGTTGGAAGCCTCTTAAATGGTATAGTTCAGTGTTTTTCAAGTTTCAGCATATTTGCTTATTGGTTACCTAGTGAAACAGTGACCTTTTGTCTACTCATTGGCGAAGTTTTTTGGTCACAACACACAATAGTTTTCTTAAAACCTCACATATTCGTACACATAAATCATAGGTTCAAACTTTGGATGTCTTTTTCTCGATTTCATGCTAGGTACAGATCCCCCTTTACGCGTAACAAGGTTAAGACAGAAGAGTAAACGTCCAGTCCTGCCCGAAAGAAAAAATTCAAAATGCAAATTTTGAAATTCATAATTCGTAAACTAGAATAATTATTTCAAAATGCAAATATGGCTTACACATGCTTTTTAATGTTCTGTTCATCAACTTATCTATGTTTTCGAGCATTAAAATTAGGAATGAAGAATTATTCTAATTTTAGAGATTCACATGTTATGCGATTGTCACACGATCAGTGTTTACTGATCATTCAGTCAGTGACAGATAATTTTTACGTAACCTCCCACATCAAAAATTCGTAATTACTTAATATCACATTCCACGATTAATACACGAATCACAGTAAATACTGGTCGTGTGACATTCGTCTTACAATCATGTTCTTTTGCACATCTACATATATGGAAAAATAAAGAGTTATCTATCTACCCTTGTTTTCCATCTTTGGCCGAGAATGCGAATATTTGTAATTACTTAAGAGTAGAAATATACATCAATATGTAATAGGCCCTCTTGTCACGAAAGAATGTAACAAATAAACTGAAATCTTTTCCTTTGCTGTCTTAACGTTTTCGTTTATCGTATATTTCTTGGGAGTTATCGATACGCTTTTCCCAGATCAATGTTGCGTAAAACATAAAGAAGTAGGAGAACGGAAACAAACAAGACCATAAACAACTCAGATTCCTACTAAGGTTGAAGGGCTTACTGATTATGTGGGGCAGAAGTTACATGATTTCGTTTCAGTTTGAGATTCATATATGTAATTTTTTCAGCTTCAATCATTCTGGTTATTTTAATGGATAAGTTATTTATAAAATTGACAAACACAATAAATTGTTCCTTCGTGCAAGGGATGACGGGTCCAACTACAAGAGGTGGTAGTGCGAACTTGAGTATGAATGTAAAAATGCGATAAAATGACGATAAAATCACCAAACCCTCAACTTCTTTGACATGTTAGAACTATTAAGATATTTTAAAAAAGGATGTGATGTTATTTATTCATAACAAAATCACGACAACTTTGTAGTTAAACGACATATTTATCGTGTATATAGGTTGTAGAGCTTAGCTTAATATATGGCAGCTGTCATCTTATGTGAGAAAATTATAGTTTTAAAACTCGGAATATTTATGTTAAAATCGTTTTATGTTATTATATAATTATACTTTACCATCTGTAGGAATAAATATATCCAGCGTCTAGTTTAATACTGCATATTTCTTTAATATTCAGCTCAATATTACATTTATAACATTTTTTTTATTTTCAGGTAAGCATTCAAACTGTTCTATCAAATATTCGGTAAGTTATACAAAACTCAATTATGAGAGGCTTGCTCATCTCTTCTCTGTTTGCAAAAGTTCCATTTTCCGAAAATTTATACTTAATATTTAAATGGCATCTTTAATTTTAAGACATAACTTTATGTAAAGTAAAATATTATTAATGGTAAGGTAAGATAGCACTACTTCAGCTTTGCTTCATCTAACGGGCAACATCGTAGGTAACTTAGACAGGCATATTAATACCATATTAGTGATGATTGATTTCTCAAAAGCCTTTGATACAGTTAATCGCAAAATTATGTTGAGCAAGCTGAAGTACGAGTACATTGGACTACCTGATATTCCGCTAAGATTTTTCCAAAGCTACTTGGCTGAAAGAAAACAGGTATTTAAGACGGTTAGGGGCGTCTCTTCTAGTACTGTGGTTTCGTCTGGCATTCCGCAGGGGTCAGTTCTGGGACCTCTGCTATATTTAATTTTTACTATAGACTTAGACTCATGTGTGGAATTTTGTTCTATACAAACGTATGCTGACGACACACAATTATCGTTTCACTTCAAATATGCTCAGTTAAATGAAGTGTCGTTTAAAATTAATACTGACCTAATCAATATTACGGATTTTTGAAAAAAACACTGTCTCAGGATCAATCCTGAAAAGAGTTCAAGTATGCTTTTTTCTCCGAAACACATGTATAATAACATAAAGGACGCAATTGTACTCATTATAAATAACGAGCGCATCCCCATTGTAGAGCATTCTAAAAACCTGGGTGTTATCTTGGATTCTAACTTGAAGTTTGATAGACCCATCGGTTACCTGTCTCAAAAAACGTATGCCAAATTAAAACTTTTATACTCCAACCGGTTCAT